GCTAGAATGAACCATAGGGTAATGGATCAGAGATGGAAAGATCAGTAAGAATTCATGTTTAACATATTTACATACAGATCGTTACATATAAAAATATTTATACATATGTACATATGCAGAAGTTAATATAGACACATATGTTTCTTTGCCTGATCAGCTGAGACAGTTTAAAATGACACTCCTTGGTCTTTAGATATCTACCATAGAAAAAAGAAAGAAAGAAATAACACTCTAGTAGCAATGAACACATCTACTACCTAGATCCTGGTTTCTAACACCATTTGCTACTAAAAAAGAACCGAGACTCTTCGGAAATAAAGCTGATACTAGGAACAGGACATGTACAAGACAAGTCTGGAGCATCCTGTAGTAGCAGAAAGAAAAAGTACTGAACACGTGCACCCATGCACACTGAGGGCGTGTGTCAGAGGAGCACAGGAAGCAACTGAAAGAGCTCCCAAAGCTAGCATAATCTGAGCAACAGAGTCAAGTCTGCCATACAGAACTCCAAAGGATTTTTGTACATATTTTATTCTAAAGGAAGGGGAGCATAACCCCCGAGTGTTTAACTGTGGATATGAATTCCTTCTGAAAAGTACAATTTGAAAAGGAAAGGAAGAAAAGAGTAACTTTACAGTAGAGCAACTTGACATGACTTCTGCCACTTAATCAAAGTCAACATCAATAATCCTAAATCATGTGGAAAGCGTACACCTCTGATACGATCTGATAAAATCACTGTGTGCCTCTGTGACCTTCCTCTCAAAAACCCATAAGCCCAGTCTAACCATGAGAAAAACATCAGACTGAACTGGAAGGTTGGACAGAGCTTCCACAGTGTTCTGTTTCATAGTTGGGATGACTTTACATTTGGAAACCAGATCTGAAGTATTAGTAAGAATCGAAATGCTTGCAAATTAAGAATAATTAAAATAATTTTATGTTATCTAGATAATTGGTTTGTCCAGTATTCTGAACCTAAAAAATACAGTCATCTATAGATGGTAATATATTATGATATCTGTATGATCATAATATCTGGTTAATATCCATTTCCCAGGCCCCGGGTGTGATGGCTCATGCCTGTAATCCCAGCACTTGGGGAGGCTGAGGCGGACGGATCACTTGAGATCAGAAGTTTGAGACCAGTCTGCCAACATGGTGAAACCCCATCTCTACTAAAAATTCAAAATTAGCCAGGCATAGCGGCACACACCTGTAATCCCAGCTAATCAGGAGGCTGAGGCAGAAGAATCGCTTCAACGTAGGAGGCAGAGGTTGTTAGCCGAGACCACACCACTGCACTCCAGTCTGGGCAACAGAGCGAGACTATGTCTCTAAATAAATAAATAAATAAATAAATAAATAAATAAAGTTCTCATACATCAGCAATAGGTTTATTATATTTATATGTAAATATATACATTTATATTTATTGTATTTACACGACTTAAGGGTTTGATGACCTGATGCTCTAGGGCCGTGATTCTCAATGGGGAATGAATAAAATTTAACCAAAACTTTTTGGCTGAGGAGAAAATACAAAGAATGATGGCAGGTAACTAGGTTAACCTGTGGATGGCAAAATGTGACTACAAAAGAAAAGAACATTTAGAAAGCCTTGGGGAGGGAGGAGGATCGAAAAATAAAATTTAATTTAAAAAGAAAGGAAGGCAATAAAGTATGTAAAATAACTCCAAGAGATCTTTCTTCACAATGACCATTTCTGTAACTGTACAAAATTCCCTATGCCACTGCCAAACAATCTCGCTAGCACTCAGCATTCAAAATACTAGAGCAAGATGAACTAAATTCAAAGACTTTTTGACACAGAGTCCATCCATTTATTTCAGAGATCTCACTCAAGCAAGTGAGACAGTAGAGAAGAATAAAGAAGCAATTTAGTGTAGTGTTTAGTAAGAGTACATGTTTGATAGTTAATATGCCTGGGTTGACTTGCAGCTTTGCCTTTTACTACCCGTGCAACATCAGGAAAGTTTTATTTGTTTATTTATTTTTTTGAGGCATAGTCTTGCTCTGTGGCCCAGACTAGAGTGCAGTAGTGCAATCAAAGCTCACTGCAGCCTCAACTTCCTGGGCTCAAGCGATCTTCCCACCTCAGCCTCCTGAGTGCTGGCACTACAGATGTATGCCCCCACGCCCAGCTAGTTTTTGTTTTGCTTTTTGTTTCTGTTTTTGATTTTTGGAGAGACAGGGTCTTGCTATATTGCCCTGGCTGGCCTCAAGCTCCTGGGCCAAGTGATCCTCCTGCCTTGGCCTCCCAAATTGCTGGGATTACAGACATGAGCCACTGCAGGTGGCCAAGCAAGCTTCTTAAACCCTCTGTTCCTTAGTTTCTTCACCTGTAAAATGGTTCTAACGTTAGAGGGATGCTGTGAGGATGAAATGAGATAATCTAGGTAAAATTCTTAGTATAGTACCTGATACATAGTAATGTTTGCTATCATTATTATTATATATTTCAAAAATCCCTCACTATCAAACTATTTGGTCTTTGTTATGTACACAATTCATAAAAGGCAAATATGTGGCCCATCAACCTTTCAGAGTTCCATAGTACCTCAAATCAGATGACAAAGGCTTGGACACAGAGCCCACAACGCAAAAAAGCCTGTACCCCAAAAGTTCACCTTTTACTCAGTGGAACACATTTCCTTAAGTGCACAACTGAAACAAGCAGTGGCTGTTATTCCCACTGCAGATGAAAGGTGTGAGGAGGCGGGTCTGCGCATCTCACTGTGACCAGTACCACTGCTCTGCTGGGGAAGGCATCGTGGTACCTGGGAAGAAAAGAACACCATGACCCTGGGAAAGAGACATCTTCCCCTGCCACTGCAGCAGCTTGAAAACACATCTTATTCTCAAGGACTTCAAGAACCTAGTCTGCACTGTACAAAGAACATCATAGCACTTGCTATATCAACATTAAGAAACACCACAACCCATAATACACATAAAGATTATAAATAAAAAGCAGGGATTTGTTTCTATTTCAAACTCTGACTATGCTTTGGATAACGACCTCTCAAAAGCACGACACTTTCTAATTGACACTGTCAGAGACCAGGAAGTGGCCCTCAAAATACGCCTCTTTAGCTAAGGATTTTTTTTTTTTAGCTAAGGGCAATTAAGCAGCAGCAGATGCAGGAAAGCTCTCAGCCCTCCCTCTGTTTGCCTAAAATCAGGACATACAATAGATTTACAAAGACAAAGGGTATCCCGCCCACCTCTCTACCAGGGAAAACAAAGGTTAACCACTGAAGACAACTTTAGACCCTTATCAGTCTAGAGATGGCACAACAGAATCCACATTAACGAGCTTTAGTAACTATCTATTGGTTATTCACCTTCCCACAAGTTGTCACCCTGAGAGATTCAGAGTTCATTTCCTTTGTCTTGTCACTTCTCTAAAATTTTACTCTTCTTTGTTGAGGATGCTACCTTATCTGGGGGAGTGAGGAGAATGAGAGAACGGGGAAGAGGAGAGAGGGGAGGGAGTGAGGAGAATGAGAGAGAACGGGGAAGAGGAGAGAGGGGAGGGAGTGAGGAGAATGAGAGAGAACGGGGAAGAGGAGAGAGGGGAGGGAGTGAGGAGAGTGAGAGAGAACGGGGAAGAGGAGAGAGGGGAGGGAGGAGAATGAGAGAGAACGGGGAAGAGGAGAGAGGGGAGGGAGTGAGGAGAGTGAGAGAGAACGGGGAAGAGGAGAGAGGGGAGGGAGTGAGGAGAATTGTTTCAAGGTGAGCAGGTCTATGTGAACCTACCCCAGAAAGTCCGAGGAAGCTGAGAGGCTGAAGAAAGAGGCTGACACATGCAGTTTCTTAGAAAGACATATTGAATAGGAACTTACAAACAGAAGCCATGTCTGTGTCTCAGGCTTTGGCAGGACAAGACAATGGATCCACACACCATTATCCCCCAGACCCAGGGCTTACACCATAGGAAAGGGTGATCTGAAGGGATGTGCAGGGCAAGCAAAGCACAGTAACATCAAGGTTGTTCGACCGAAGGTCAGGATTTATAGTAAGTACCTGTTCTTACACAAGGAACAGTAGATAACCTGGAAATCTTAGAGGCATCTCGAAACTGGGGCTAATGAGAAGTCAATATGGCAGACCAGCATCCAAGATGGAGTTGCTCTGGCCTCCACAGGAATAAAACAAACATAACAAAATGTTCACACAGGGAATCTGTGTGAAGAGCATCCAGGAATTCTTTGTCCTGTTCCTGCAACTTGTCTATGACTCTGAAATCACGTCAAAGTAAAAAAAAATTACATTGGATATACAGCAATATTATTTGTCAAAACCAATGGAACTATACAAGAAATCTGCAGATTGCACCATATATAAATAACACTTCAATTAAAATAATAAAACCTTATTTTAGATGTTTTCTCAAAGGTCGACGATTAGAACACTTCAATAATTAAAAACAGAGAAGAGAAACCCATTGAGAACATAACAGAATGAAGACTAACTTCATGCATACTTTTAGTTTGAAACAATAAACTAGCACCACCGTTTCTGTGTCTGTGACCACAATTATCAGCAGCTCTCATGAGTTCCTGCTGTACGGCCCCCGCTCCCCTCCCGCCACGCCTCCCCATGTGACCACCCCACACCCCCTGTGCTCAGCTGGGTACCACAATCAGCTACACTGCACTCCCTTGCTAATCAACCTCCAAATACATAAGCCCATTAACAACAAACCTAGATATTGCCTTTTTTTAATTAAAAAAATAAAGCCAAAAATGACGGTCACAATCCCTCATGAGGACACAGACCATTCAGTGAGAATCCTTGAGGGAGGCCCTCTGCAGATACCAGGGCCCAGAATAAGGGCTCACCCAGCACCTGGCTTAGAACCCAGGTTAATCTTTCAAAGTACTTTAGGATTTGTTAAAGATTATATTATTAATGTCATAGTCAGCTATTTTTAAAAAATACTAGTAAAACAAAATGGCTTTCACATCTCATACCTTGCTTTAGAAATATGATAAATTCCTTTACAGTTTGGTCCAAATTCACTCCATGATACACTATAGGTTTGAAATTGCGATGCTCAAAGGAACGGATGAGGCGAACTGTGATGGTCACTTCTTCAGGAGCCATGTGAGGAAATTCCTGTGGCGAGAGACATGAGAACCGTCTGAATGAAGCCAGCTCACAGCTGTCTACCAGCACCTAGCCTGCATCTCTACCATCAGCTCTCCGGCACCAGCCCCCTCTTCCACGCTGCATGATGACTGACAGAGTTCCCAAACAGAAGCCAGGTTCCAGAGTCCCCAGAAGGGTCGAGTGATTATGCCCACCTATCCACTGCGATCCTGGACGGCTCTGTCACAGACACAGATGTTCTGACCAGCAGAAAACTGACAGGGTACAGAAGATGAACCAAAGTAACACAGGGGCGTGTGTATGTGTGGAAGCAGAGAAGCAGAATGGCCAAACCCAAACACATGGCAAACACACGTCTATTGTGGGTACCCTATGTCAGTGGGCCCCTCAGTTGGCCCTGAGATGGAAGCACATTTATATTAGAATCAACTATCAACAGACAGCATTTCAATCTCATAAATGCTGCCAGATTTCAGGGCTGATTTAATTATATATGATGGTGTACCCGTCTTTCACATTACTAAATCTCAGTATGTATATTTCATCCTAAAACTAAGTACTAGGCACATGTGCCAGGTCTTAATGTTATCTCATTTAATTCATTCAATTCTCTCACCAAACCATGAAGCATTTTGCCTCATGCTTTAGTGAGAGAATTAAGTGAGATAATATTTTAAAGATGAGAAGATTGACTTGGAGAGATTGCATCAACTGCCCCAAATCATAAAGCTGGCAAATAATGGAGTCAGGATTCAAGCATCAATTTAATTCCAAAGTCCATGCTTTCTAATACATGCACACACACACACACACACCCCCAAATTGGAAAACCACCCCAAATTATTTCCTCCAAAAAATTTCTGCACAGTTGCCAATGCTTTTTTCCATGCTTAAAAAATATTTTTGTTTTGAAGTATCTTAAGCAAACAGTTAAAAAAAAAAGAACCTGCTACACTATCCTGTCAAATCTTAACATTCTGATGCAACTGTATCAACTTTGAGGAAGAAAACACATCAGAAGTCCCGTGTACCCTCCCCAATTCCACCAGCATTTCCTGCCCTGGGACAACAGAGCAGTGACTCACATACACCATTCCAATAGATAATTTTACACTCTAATTCGTATCATTTGAATCTACAGAAAATAGACTATTATGCGCAGCAATAACAACACATATATAGAAAACATATATAGAAAAAATATATATTTCTATATATATTTTTTAACTTTGTTTTGTTTTGTTTGAGACAGGGTCTTACTCTGTCACCCAGGCTGGTCTCCAACTCCTGAGCTCAAGTGATCCTCCTGCCTTAGCCTCTGAAAGTGCTGGGATTATAGGTGTGAGCCACCATGCCCAGCAACACTTTCTGTTATATATCAACAATGCTTACATGCCAGATACTATTCTAAGTGCTTAGCACTCATTCTATCATCGACTGCCCACTCACCTCCAATCACCCTGTGAGGTTGGTAAGATCATCTCATACAGAAAAAGTGAAACACAAATAGGCTGAAGTACTGTGCCCACAGATACACAGTATGGTTAACTTTAATACATGGTGTATTATATGTAGCTTCCACAAGCCTTTCAGCATCGCTTTTCATTTATCTGTGTTGAAAGATGTAACTCTAACTCTCACATTCACTTTCTGAAGTATCAAAAACCCATTTGTTTTAAAGATACAAGCAGGGCGTAGTTCTATCTAGTAGTACCTACTTTGTGCTACTTACAACTTTGCATGTAACTTTAAACCATAATATACAGTAAGAGTAAGTATTAGAAAAAAAAATACCTGTAATACTGATAAATGTAAGGAAAGCTATACAACCTCACTAGTAGTCAGGGAAATTCAAAATAACAATGAGACATATCACTCGTCTAACTGATAAATTACAAAGTCTAACAATACCTCCTACTGGCAAGGGTAGAGAACAATGAAAACCTCATCAGTGATTGCAGGCACTTAAAGGAGCAGTACTTTTGGAGACAATTAGGCAATCTTTAGTAAAACTGAAGATACACATACCTTTTGATCCTACAATTTCATTCATACATAGATACCCTAAGGAATCTCACATATATACACAAGGAGGAACCATAAAATATTAATAGCAGTGTGATTTTTTAACTGCAAAAACTGGAAACAACTGTCCATCAACGGCAGAACAGATAAGAAAAGGATGGGGTACTCATACGATGAAATATGACAAGCAATCGAAATGAATGGATTGGAACTACAAGCATCAACATGGATAAATCTCAAAAATACTACCATGAGTGGAAAAAAGCAAGTTGCAGAAGAATCAGAGCATCCTGTACTATCATTTATACAAAGTTCATAAACATAGTCTTTATTTTGTTTCATACGAGACAATTAGTCAGGCACGGTGGCTCACCCCTGTAATACCTGCACTTTGGGAGGCTGAGGCGGAAGGATGGTTTGAAGTCAGGAGTTCGAGACCATCCTGGCCAATATGGTGAAACCCAGCCTCTAATAAAAATACAAAAATTAGCCAGGCATGGTGGCGGGTGCCTGAAATCCCAGCTACTCAGGAGGCTGAGGCAGGCAGGAGAATCTCTTGAACCCGGGAGACGGAGGCTGCTGTGATCGTAGATCGTGCCACTGCACTCCAGCCTGGGTGCCAAAGTAAGACTCGGTCTCAAAAAAAAAAAAAAAAAAGAAAAAAAGAAAAAAGAAAGGAGACAACCACCTGAGGTGTAGGAAGAATTATGTACTTGAGAAGTAATAAATCGGGGCTTCAATTATATTAGCAACATTTTATATCTTAAGCAGATGTTAGGTATATGGCTTTTTGTTTGTTTGTTTTGAGACAGAGTCTCACTCTGTCGCCAGGCTGGAGTGTGGTCGCGCCATCTTGGCTCATCACAACCTCCCTCTCCGGGGTTCAAGCAACTCTCCTGCCTCAGCCTCGTGAGCAGCTGGGACTACAGGTGGGACTACAGCCACCACGCCTGGCTAATTTTTGTATTTTTAGTAGAGATGGGGTTTCACCATGTTGGCCAGGCTGGTCTCGAACTCCTGACCTCGGGTGATCCGCCTGGCTCGGCCTCCCAAAGTATATCATTCTTTATGCCTTTTACTATGTCTGGGATATTTTATAACACACACAAGCAAGTCACATTAATTTGGCCTGGAAAGTCTCTCTGAATCTTATAAGCATGTTTTGTGGTTAATTAGTTTAACAAATCTTTTCACAATTTCAATATTAGTTACTTCACTATTTCTTATTAAATCTGGCTTACAATGCTTCTCTGAAAATCTGATCCCAGAATCTATCACATAATAGCAGTTCAGCAAACATCTACAAAATTAAAATTTTAAATATACTGAAGTACTCAATAAGGAATAGCTCCTGAGAAAGAGACATATAGAAGCCTCTTGTATTTCAGAAGCAGTGTTGACAGGTTTGCTAAAGCTATGACCACGTCTCCCTCTTCTCACCCCCCAAAACAACAAAAAAGCCCTCCCAAACACACATATATGCACACACCTACACACACACACACACACACACACACACACACACACAGGGAAGCCCTATAATGCAGCCCGGTGTCCCTAAGAGCCTAGAGTTGGACAGATTTAACTATTTAACTTAAAGATCAACTCTGCTTCTTAGCTGTGTTATAAAATAAGAAATCCTTGAAAAGCTGTTCCATGTTAGCCAGGCGTAGTCCCAGCTACTCGGGAGGCTGAGGCAGGGAGGTGGAGGTTGCAGTGAGCTGAGATTGCACCACTGCACTCCAGCCTGGGCATCAGAGTGACACTCCGTCTCAAAAAACAAACAAACAAAAAAACAAGTTGTTCCACTAATTTAAGAAATTAACATACATTAAACACAATTCCTCGCACATCGGAGGATCTCAGTAAGTAGTAGCTGCTTTTATCATCATTATTCTATTTAGACTAAAATAGGTTTGGGTATAAAGACAGCTAAGCAGCAGAAAAATATAAATTCCCAGATGTAATGAAGCGAAGGCTGGGCAGGCTGGCACTTGCATTCCTCATGAAACTGTTTTTCACAATTACAGGTTTGTTATTTTCACTTAATAAAAAGCTGCCCATATGCTGTACTTAAATAGTTGAACTTTTCCATTTAAAACCCCAAAATCTGAGTTATATCTAATTTTGGGCAACTATTGTCATTTTTCTAAAAAAAGTGCTTCAATTTATACTCAGTAACAAAACAATATCAGAAGGACCATTATCTAATTTGCCTTAAGGACAGTGGGACACAGGCTTGTCTGCCTAGAGAGGATGACATACTGAAGAGGCAGCTTAGAAGACTAATCTTACAGATAATAAAATCTGACATTTTTCCCAGAAGGTTTGGCCTAGTTTTTAAAAAAAAGTGAATGTGATCAATTTTAAAAAGCATTCCTCAAATGAAAAGGCAGAGAAGCCAATAAAAATAAACTTTGGGATAAATTAACAAAAAATAGTCAAGGACATAAAAGATTTAAATAAATGAAATGATAGACAATGTCCTTAACTACAAAGGTTCAAAGTAGTAAAGAAATCAAGTCTCCCTAAATTGACCTATGCATTGAATAAAATCCCAATCAAAATAAAAAAGGGCTGTTTGGGAATCTTGACACAAATAATTCTAAAATCCATCTAGAAGAATCTGTGACCTTTGTCAGCAAAGTCATAAAACAACAAAAAAGAAAAGAGACCAGTGACACCAATTATTAAAACACATTATAAAGCAACCGTTACACAGGAAAAAGCTTGTTTGATTTTCATAATTTTACAAAATCCAGTAACAACTATTTTAAATGCAAAATCAAGCCATAGTAATATAAACTTTGATACTGGAACAGGAATAGATGGACAAATCTGTGAAATCTAACAGATAACTCAGACTTAAGATTATAGAAAATTTAATATAAGATGAAAGTGGCATCTCAAATTAGTGAGGAAAAGATAGTTTTCTCAATAAATGGCATTGAGAAAACTAACAATGGATTTGGGGAAAAGTAATAATGGATTCTTATCTCACTCCTTATACAAAACAACCTCTCCATGAAACAAATATTTAACTATAAAATCATAAAGAGGCACCAGAAGAAAATAGGTACATATTTTTATAATCTTAAGATAGTAAAAGCTCTAAGCAAAGACAAAGCAGCAGTCATCAAGGAAAAGACTTAATAGTTGTAACAACATAAAAATCTAAAAAGAGACCAATATCCTAATATAAACAAGGATAAAGGTAATTAACAGGCAACTGGCTAAACTTAAGCCAATAATGTGAAAAGATCAGCTTTACTTCCAACTAAAGAACTGAAAGAGAAACAGATATCAATTCTGCCATAAGACTGGTGTAATAAGAAAAATTAAAAACTGGCCAACCAGTGTTGGCAAGGATAT